TAAGCGCTCGGCTGCTCACGGAAAGGGCGGGGGTTAGAAACCACCGTCCTCGGAGTGGGAGAAAGATGTGGCAATCTGCTTCTGTCAGGATTACAGCCTTGGAAACCCAGTGGGGCAATTATATCCTAAGCAGTAGGGTTGCTCTGAGTCGGGATTGACTGCACGACAGGGGTTTAGTTTTTAGTTTAATTGTTATATGGCTTTGACAGAGATGAAGTAGTAAGAAACTGAATTTCCACTCTAAGGCGGAAATTTCCTTCACAATTGTGCCAAAGACAATATGGCCAACCTGATATGGCTGAACAAAGTTAACATAGGAGACAAGCAGTTTACAGAGATCACACACCCTGTGTTTCTCCAGGATCCTAAGCGTGGATAGAGACAGGAGCTGTGTTGGATTAGATGCTAATGAGGCAACCGTAATATCTGCTACCAAATAGCCACACTGAATAGGTTAGGGGCTTCTTGCAGTAAAAAAGCCGACATATTTGCAGTATTAGAGCAACAAATATTGGCACTGAGGGCAAAATGAGAGGCGTGCGTTATGGAAGTATTCAACATATTACAACACATCCTGATGAGCCACACTACCGTGTTGGTAAGTGTGCCTCATTTTTAAATTATTTTAGAAAGTGCTCTTATTTGGATAAATATGAAAAGTGCAACTGTTGGAAAGTGTTGATTTATAGGACACAACTTTGAACATGGAGAAGTGAAAGGCAAATTGATGAGTAATGTGTATAGCATTTGTAATATAAACAGAATAAATTTGTGTTTAAAGCAAATGTTATAATGTAGAAAGAAAATAATATGTGTATATCTAATCTATTGAAGGTAAGAGGAACAAAAGGCTGCTGTTTTACATAGAGGAAAAGATAGGAGTAAATATATAGGTAATAATCAGGCAGGAGCTGCAGGTATTTGAAAATTGAAATGTGTAGTTTTCATTGTCCTATTTGGGAAAACATTGCTAACTCTAAAGTCATTAACGTAATTTATGTTTGTAATAATTAGAATGGTAATTCACTGGAGTTGCTATTATGGAAGCAGTCTTGTTATTTTCTTTCAGTACTAATAACCACTTACTCCAGATCGATTTATTTAAACAGTCTGTTTTTCCTCACTGCATTTTCTCAAATCTGATTTTCTTTCTTCAGGTTATCACTGCTTGGGATTGGCATTTAATCTTTGTAATGCCCACATATCTCCCCGCCCCCCGAAGATAACAATCCCACGTAGAATGAAAGCCATATATTTTACTTTTGGTAAGAAGGTATTGCATAGTCAGGATTCTGTGTCGGTCTGTACACAGAGGGAAAAAAAATGATCTCCAAGGGAAAAAAAATGCTAATTGAAAAATTCAGAGGAAAAATACTGATCACGTTCGACAGTGATATAAATGAAATGAGAATTAAATATCAAGACAGTTAACTGCACATAATAAAAAATCGAGTCATGGTGGCTTTCTTGACCAGACTTGAAAAATTTGTTCTCCCTGACAATTCACCCATGTTAATATCAAATATAAATGTCTGTATGGATTTAGATGAAGCAGAGATACCCAGATAAAGCCACAGTCAGAGATCAGGTGGAAGTCAGGTTCACATTTTCTGCCCTGGCCAGGTACAGATGCTTCCCATACTCTGGCATGAGGAAATTGCTCCATCTGTGATTTCCTTGCCATAAGGTTGAAAACTGTAGAACTGCATGAGGACTGAAGATACTCTCAAGGCTGAGCAATGCCTTGAGCCTGGGGGGAAGCCCTACCCCGGGAAAGAGCTGAAGCCAAAAACCTGTCACTCCCTACATAACTCAACACTGTGTCCCTCAACCTGCACCCTCATCTTCCATTTCAGGTCTCAAGTGTGACTCGGGAAGAATTGGTCCTGTCTGGGCGGCCTGGGACCAAGAGCTGCCATCTTATACATCTGTAAATCACCAGTAAGGATTCCAATTGCTAACTGCCTGTGTAGACAAAACATTATTCATCTGCTTCCAGACTGCTAAGTGGCCTTGCCTCCACTCCCATTGCTCTTGCCTTAACTGGCTTTTTGGGCTGTAGAGAGGACATTCACTTAGACTTCGAGAGGTTGGAGGCAGGAAATGGTGAGTACCACAGAGAACTGGGTAATTGTTAGCATAAAGGGGTGAGGCTAAATATGATTTGTTGGGGAACAAGCTTTGTACTTCCAGCTCTGTGCTTGTACGATGTAAAATGTAGAAGAGACCAAGGTCTAAATCCTAAGAAGCAACATTGTCACGGGGCTCTTCCTCTACATATGTGTGGTTTTTAAGCTTTGAATGCCTAGGTCACCTTTCTTACTTCTAAGTTGACACCATGGGACATGACCACCCCCACTCTCGGCCTTGGTGTTGTGTGTTTTTTCTTTTTTTTTCGATTGTGCGTTAGGTCAAAGTCTACAGAGCAAATTAGTTTCTCATTCAACAATTGGTACACAGATTTTTTTGTGACATTGGTTGCAATCCCCATGATGTGTCAACAGTCTCCCTTTCCCTACCCTGGGTTCCCTGTTTCCATCCATTCATTTTTCCTGTCCCTTCCTTCCTTTTTGTCATTGCTTTTGGGCAGGTGTTGCCCTTTTGGTGTTGGAGTCATGACTGAACTTCGCAGCAAGTTCCTAGGTTGTGTTATGGTTTGTTTTATAGACTAGTCTTTGGCTGAAGGGTGAACTTTGGGAGTGGCTTCAGTCCTGAGTTGAAAGGATGTCCAGAGACCATAGTCTTGGAGGTTCCACCAGTCTTTGGGAGACCAGTAAGTCTGGTCTTTTTTTTTTTTGTGAGTTTGAATTTTGTTTTATAGTTTTCTCCGGCAGTGTCTGTGAACCTCTGTTGTAATTACTGTTGGTGGCCAGTGGCAATCAAGCACCGTCTACTTGTTCTGGGCTCAGGCTGGTGAATGCTGTGGTATTTGTGGTCCATTAGTCCTTTGAATTAATGTTTGCTTTTTGTCTTTGATTTTCTTCATTCTCCTTTGCTCCAGATGGGATAGGACCAGTAGCTGTACGTTAGCTGGCCGCTGGCAAGCTCTTAAGACCTCAGATGCTACTCACCAAATTGGATGTAGAACATTTTCTTCGTGAACTATGTTATGCCAGTTGACCTAGATGATTCTGCAACCATGATCCCCAGCCTTTAGCCTCAGTAACTCAGTATCTCAGGCTGGATGAATGTATCTGTGAAGCTTCTGGAAACCCTTTTGGTGTAGTGGTTGAGAGCTCCGGCTTCTAACCAAAATGTAGGCAGTTCGAATCCACCTGACGCTCCTTGGAAACTCAATGGGGCAGTTCTGCTCTGTTCTTTAGGGTCGTTGTGCGTCGGAATTGACTCAACAGCAACTGATTTGTTTCCATTTTTATAAAGCTTCTATGATTTTGCCTTTGTCAAGTTGTATCTTATATTGTGTACTGTCTTTCTCTTCATCAATGTTAGCGCTCACCTACTATCTAGTTAGCATTTCCCTTCCCTTGTAACCATCAAAGGTTGATTTTTTCAGTGTGTACATGTTTACTTGAGTTTTATAGTAGTGGTCTCATAAGCATTTGTCCTTCTGTGTTTGACTTTATTTCACTCAGCATAATGCTCCCCAGATTCATCTCTGTTGCAAGATATATCACGGATTCATCATTGTTCCTTACTGTTGTGTAGTGGAATTCGGAAACTATCGAACAGTATCGTTAATATCACACATAAGTAATGTTTTTTGCTGAATGTTATTCAAAAGTGGTTGCAGCAGTACATCAACAGGGAACTGGCAGAAATTCAACCCTGATTCAAAAGAGGACATGAAACAAGGGATATCGTTGCTGATGTCCGATGGATGAAGGCTGAAAAGAGAAAATACCAGAAAGACGTTTACGTGTGTTTTATGGACTATGCAAAGGTGTTTGACGGTGCAGATCACAACAAATTATGGAAACCATTGTGAAGAATGTGAATTCCGGAACACTTAATTGTCCTCATGAGGAATCTGTACTGAGACCAAGAGGCAATCGTTTGAAGAGAACAAGGGGATATCACATGGTTTAAAGTCAAGAGAGGTGTTTGTCAGGATTGTATCCTTTTGCCATACTTAATCTGCATACTGAAGAAATAATCCAAGTAGCAGGAGTATATGAGGAAGAACGTTGCATCAGAATTGGAGGAGGACTCATTAACCTGAGATATGCAGATGACACAACCTTGCTTGCTGAAAGAGGACTTGAAGAACTTGCTCATGAAGCTCAAAGACCACAGCCTGCAGTACGGATCACAACTCAACATAAAACAAAAGTACTCCCATCTGGACTGATAAGTAGCGTCCTGATAAAGTGAGAAAAGATTGAAGTTGTCAAGGATTTCATTTTACTTGCATCCATAATCAATGCGCCTGGAAGCAGCAGTCAAGAAATCAAACGACGCATGTTGTTGTTGTTAGGTGCCATTGAGTCAATTCTGACTCATAGTGACCTTATGCACAGCAGAACGAAACACTACCCACTCCTATACCATCCTCACAATTGTTGCTATACTTGAGCCCATTGTTACAACCACTGTGTCAGTCCATCTCACTGAGGGTCTGCCTCCTTTTTGCTGACCCTCTACTTTACCAAGCATGATGTCTTCCTGGGACTGATCCTTCCTGATAACATGTCCAAAGTATGTGAGACATAGTCTAGCCATCCTTGCTTCTGAGGAGCATTTTGGCTATACTTCTTCCAGGACAGATTGTTCATTCTTTTGACAGTCCATGGTATATTCAATATTTTTCGCCAACCCCACAATTCAAAGGCGTCAATTCTTCTTCGGTCTTCCTTATTCACTGTCCAGCTTTCGCATGCATATAAGGGAATTGAAAACACCATGGCTTGGGTCAGGCTCACCTCAGTCCTCAGGGTGACATTTTTGCTTTTTAACACTTGAAAGCACTCTTTTGCAGCGGATTTGCTCAATGCAGTACATCTTTTGATTTCTTGACTGCTGCTTCCGTGGGTGTTTATTGTGGCTCCAAGTAAAATGAAATCTTTGACAACCTCAATCTTTTTTCTTTTTATCATAATGTTAGTTACTAGACCAGTGTGAGGATTTTTGTTTTATGTTGGGGTGTAATCCGTACTGAAGGCAGTGGTCTTCGATCTTCATCAGTAAGTGTTTCAAGTCCTCTTCACTTTCAGCAAGCAAGGTTGTGTCATCTGCATAATGCAGGTTTTTAATGCATGTTCCTCCGATACTGCTGTCCCTTTTTTTCATATAGTCCAGCGTCTCGGATTATTTGCTCAGCATACAGATTGGATAGGTATGGTGAAAGGATACAGCCCTGATGCACATCTTTCCTCACTTTAAACCATGAAGTAGCCCCTTGTTCTGTTCGAGCAACTGCCTCTTGATCCATGTACAGATTCCTCATGAGCACAGTTAAGTGTTCCGGAATTCCCATTTTCCGCCATGTTGTCCTTAATTTGTTTTGATCTACACAGTCGAATGCCTTAGCGTAGCCAATAAAACACAGGTAAACATCTTTCTGGTATTCTCTGCTTTCAGACAGGATCCATCTGACATCAGCAATGACGTCCCTGGTTCCAAGTCGTCTTCTGAATCCGGCTTGAATTTCTGGCAGTTCCCTCTCGATATACAGTTGCGGCCACTTTTGAATGATCTTCAGCAAAATTTTGCTTGCATGTGATATTAATGATATTGTTTGATAATTTCCAAATTTGATTGGATCGCCTTTCTTGGGAATAGGTGTACATATGGATTTCTTCCAGTCTGTATTCCAGGTAGGTGTGTTCAAAATTTCTTGGCTAGCGAGTGAGCACTTAAAGCGCTGCATCGGTTTGTTGAAACATCTCAGTTGGTATTCAGTCCATTCCCAGAGCCTCGTTTTTTGCCAATGCCTTCAGGGCAGCTTGGACTTCCTTTCAGTCCATTACTGGACTTTCGTTACCATCAGTTCCTGATCATAATGTTACTTCCTGAAATGGTTGAATGTCGACCAGTTCTTTTACATACAGAGAATTTGTGTATTCCTTTCATCTTATTTGGTGCTTCCTGTGTCGTTTATATTTTATCCGTAGAATCTTTTAGGATTTTAACTCGAGGTTTTAATTTTTTCTTTGTTTCTTTCACTTTGAGAAATGCTGAGCATGTTCTTCCCAAGTGACGCATAGCATTGGGCAAATCTGCACTAGACCTCTTTAAAGTTTTCAAAAGCAAAGATGCCACTTTAAGGACTAAGGTACACCTGACCCAAGCCATGGTGTTTTCAGTTGTCTCATATGCATGTGAAAGCTGGATAATGAATAGGGAAGACTGAAGAAGAATTGATGCCTTTGAATTATGGTGTTGAGGAAGAATGTTGAAGATATGGACTGCCAAAAGAATGAACAGCTCTGTTTTAGAAGCAGTACAGCAAGAATTCTTGTTAGAAGCAAGGATGGCAAGAGTTCATCTTACATACTTTGCATGTGTTATTAGAAGGGACCAGTCCCTGGAGAAGGACATCATGGTTGGTAAAGTAGAGGGTCAGTGAAAATGAGGAAGACCTTCATCGAGATGGATTGACACAGTGGCTGCAACAGTGGGCTCAAGCATAACAATGATTGTGAGGATGGCAGAAGACAAGCAGAGTTTCATCCTCTTTTAGGGTCACTATGAGTTGGAACTAAATTGACACCTGACAACAACCATAATTTGTTTATGCGTTCATCTATCTGTTGATGGTCACTTGGGTTGTTTCCTCTTTTTGCTGTTGTGAATAATGCTGCAATGAACATGGGTGTGCAAATACAGATTCATGTGACAGCTCCTATGTCTATAGGGCATATTCCTAGGAGTGGGATTGCTCTCGTTTTGTATTTCTAGTTCTTTTTAAGGAGGCTCCATATTGTTTCCCATAGTGGTTGTATGATTTTACATTCCCACCAGCAGTGCATAAGTGTTCCAGTCTTTCTGCAACCTCTCCAACTTTTGTTATTTTTGTTTTTTTTTAATTATTGAAGTACTGCCGGTGTGAGATGGTACGTCAGTGTAGTTTTGATTTGCATTTCTCTAATGACTAATTATCGTGAGCATTTCCTCTTGCGTCTGTTAGCTGCCTGAATTTCTTCTTT